ATAATCATCCGAGTCTCCTGCCCAATCAGCGTCGGAAAAAGCATGAAGCGTTAGAGAATTTGAAGCAGAGAAGAAGATACCGTGATCTGTGGTGCCTGCAAGATATCGTAGAACACGTTTTGCTGCTTGAAAATGTGCGTCTGTGGGTTGGTGCATATACTGCGAGAGACGATTGACGGCGTATGCAACATCTGGTCGAGTAAACGCAAGGTATTGCAGGCTCCCTACAAGCTGGCGATATGTTTTGGGTTCGGAAAGAGAATGACCTGTGTTAAGCATTAGCTTAGGTGTAGACCAGATTTGTAGAGGTGACACCATTGATGACCACCGTGGGGGTTGGAGGTAAGACAGTCGAATCAATGAAACTTGCAAGGTCATAGCCGTCTAGGAGCGCCCGAACTTGTAAGCTCCACATCATATAGTTGGTAGCAGAGAGTTTGATGATGTTGTTCATATTAATGTTGAGAAGCGTGGGCATGGTGGCGTCAATGATTTCAGCTCTGGGTGCAGACATGATGTCCGTTAGTGTTTAGAGAAGAAGGAGATGAGATTTGGAGAGATGAAAGCGAGAGAAAATTAGGGTATCGATGTAGGCTCTGATACCATATAGAGAAAGATCTTTTCTTATTATTTACTAAAGAGATTACAAGTGTATATATATTGTACAAGAGATGGGAGCTAGGGTTAGCTAGATACATAAACTTCCTAAACAGAACACGAGAGATATGGAAACAATGAATGGAGGAATATTATGTATCCTTAACAGTTCCAAACGCTTATCTCAGATTTTTTTTCTCTTCAACTATTTTGACTTCTGGAGTTTTAGTTATGTTTCTTGGAAAAGGAATAGAGCTGCTGAAGCTATTGCAGTAAGTGTCACACGTGACCACATATAATATATACTAATCCTACATAGCCCGTGAAGGATCCTACTTGCATTGGAAGCTACTTTAACCTAAATGTGACTAGAACTTACCTATCATTATTTTAGGCGACGTCTCAATTTTAAGTTGCTGATACACAACCCTCATTATTATTTTTTGGATGAGGATCTCTCTTTTTTCTTTTGTTATGTCTTCCTCTTTGTGTGGTCTTTACCTCAGACTCTATTGTTTCACCCTTTTGGAGATCAGTTTATTTGAAAGCATTATAAAACACCAACCCGAATTAATTCGTCTGTGAGTTGGAGAAGAGAGTCAAAGCTCAAAATTGGAAGAGGTGGCGACGTGGCAAACCCAAGGACAGAAGAATTCATATGAGACAAAACAGTGAAATATATTGTTATGTTTTTCTTTCTATGTTACAACACCATACATCAAATTGTGCTCATCCCAACGCAACTTTACTTGACTTAGACGAAGTTATACAAAGATTCTGTAAGCATTATAGTGTTATAATTGAGATAACAATACCTGAGAGAGTTTCCATGTGTATACATTTATTTCACTGTTATCTCATAAAATTAGTTTACCAATATTCTGAACAGATTGTTATATGTGAGAAGTCCTATTTAGTCTCTGAATCTCTTATGTTCACTTGATCCAGATTGTTTTAACAGGAAGATGAAAGACGAGAGACGAGAGAAAAGCTTCAGCTCTAGGCTAATTCAAGAATAATGTAAAAACCTAAGCTGTATGTCACTTTCTCAACAATCTACCAATACATTCAGCAAGAAAAACAGAGATCTCAATTAAAGACCTCTTTCTTTTACCAAAAAAAAAAACATATCAACATACTGTATTTACGGTATCAGTTTCTGGTTCTACATTATTATTGTTACTATTATTAAAACTGAGCCATCTTGAATCCAGAGATACAAGCAATCTAACTGGGGGCTACTTGCGCCTATCTGCACCAACTATCTTAACATACCACCTTGGCTTGTATGAAGTAATAACGTGAGCTATCACCAATCCAAACAACAAGCCAGGACCATATCCTATAACCACTCCTTTCCAGTTTAACATTTCTTCCTCTTCTTCTTCATCTTCTTCCATAGGCTGCTGTATTGGTGATGCAAAGCAACTTCTTGTCAGAGGAAGACCACACAGACCTATATTCCCTTCAAATGATGTCTCAGCTTGCCCACTAAACTGAGGTCCTTGTGGTATTTCACCTTTGAGTTGATTATGAGCCACACTTACATACGACAAAAACGAGAGGCTCCCAAGTTCCTTAGGAATAGTTCCAGAGAGTTGGTTTCTTGACAGGTCTAGCGACTCAAGCTCAGTAACATTTGCCAAAGACAGAGGAATGTGTCCAGTAAAGGCATTGTTTGACAAGTTCAACGCAATCAATGCCTTCAAGAGACCAATGGACTCAGGAATCTGTCCCTCAAGTTTGTTTCCTGAGAAATCAATAGTACTGTAGGAAGTAAGTACCTTCCCTTGCTCCATGAATAGACCTTTGTATTGCAAATCCAAAGTATCTTCATATCCAAAATAAGCATGCTTGTAGTCTCCCATATAAATACGCCCTTCTTCATCTACCTTGAACAATGATGCTTTCCAGTTAACAAAGTAACTTGGTGACAAGCTTCCAGTAAATTTATTATCTGATAGTTCAAGTATACGCAGCTCGGGAAACGCGAGAGGAGCTTGGTCAGGAGGAGAGAGCTTCCCAAAGAATCTGTTTGAACGGAGAGTAAAGACTTGCAAGTTTGGTAGAGCCTTGAGCCAGAAAGGAAACGTGTCTTCGATCTTGTTGTTGTCAACACTTAGAAACTTCAGAAAGGAGCAATTTAGAAGTGATCTTGGAAGCTTCCCAGTAAGTCTATTGAAACCAACGTCAAGCGTCTGCGTCAAAGAGCCGGTGTAGAACTCATCAGGTATGCTTCCTTCCAAGTTGTTCTTCCTGAGATTCACTATATTGAACTTGCCCAAACAATGAGGTATTGGACCGGTGAATTTGTTGTAGGACAGATCAAAAACAACGAGGGAGCTTCTGTTGCAAACCTGGAGAGGTAGGTTCCCTGTGAAACTATTGTTCCATGCTGATAGGTAGATGATCTTAGGTGGTGGAATAGGAAATGATCCTGTCATGGAGTTATACGCAACATCCAGTAACTGCACTGATGAGTTGAGAAAAATCTCTGACGAACCTTCCAAACCGGTGAAAAGGTTGTTAAAAAGATTCACTTGGCTAAGACGAGGAAGCTTCCATAGCCACTCAGGGACTTTCCCTTTGATTCTGTTGCTGGAAAGGTCTAAATTGTACAAGTTTTGAAGGGTCTTTATGATGTCTGGGAACTCTATAATGTCACACCCTCGCATGACCAAGCTTTCTAAGTGCAATGAGATGTCTGGAGAGTTTAGACTGGATGGTAATAGCTTATTTCTAGAAAGCTGAAGCACCAACAAAGATTTGAGTGGAGAGAAGATGTTTAAGTCTATTGGGTAGGTTGTGTTTAGGGAAGAAACATCAAGATGGTTGAGGTTGATGAGTTTTGAGATAGGCTCTATGATTTTCCCTTCAAATTGGTTTTGGCCAAGGGATAAATACACTAACCTAGATAAAGTAGGAGAATCTGGAACTTCTATTGTACCAGTGAGTTGGTTCTTTTTCAAATCAAGATAAGTCAAGAAGGGCATAATGAGTAGTAAATCAGAAGGTATGGTTCCTGAGAATTGATTGTAAGAAAGGTCTAGAAAAGAGAGCTTTGTTAGATTCCTTACAAGTGGAAAACTACCAGTGAGCTCGTTATGGGAAATGTTTAAATGGGTAAGATGGATTAGGTTACTAAAAGAGGAAGGAACTTGACCAATGAAGCCATTAAAGGAAATAGACAAAACCTCTAGTTTGTTGAGATTGCTGAGCTCAGATGGGAGTGAAGAGGAAGTGAAGTTGTTGTGAGAGAGATTAAGGTAACGAAGATGGTTAAACCGAAAGAGGCTACTGTTTGGTTTGAGACTTCCAGTGAAGCAACCAGTTGGGAGTTGTAGCTTCGTGACTAAACCAGTAGTGTTATCGCACCCGACTCCGTTGAGATAGTCTTGGCGGTTACAACCATTGGATTCAAACTCGTTCTTGAATTGCATAAGAGCTTGGATCTGGTCGGGACGACAATCCAGAGCATTGATCATAAAGACATTTGAAGCAGAGAGGATAAAGCATATAGAGACAAAATGCAAATGTAGACGCGGTTGCGACATGGTGTTTGTGATTTAAAAAGCTGATGAATGTGATTGAAATAAAAAGACTTGATATATATGTACGTTTTTAAAAGCCGCCATAGCTTTAAATATATTAAATCTTGAGCAATAATTAATTTATGGGTCTAAGTAATGTCAACGAATCATACAGTATATGAAATTAATTAAGGATTTCTCTTTGATTTTGTGTAGACATCATATTGTCTGTACAGCTAACAGTTGACCTGTCTTTTATTGGATTCAGATCAGTTTGAATTATGCAATGCACGTTCACATTTTATAATGTTTGTTTCAGTATGTATAATTAAATTTTACATTTATGCTGTTTTATATTTATTGAATACTATGTACCCAAATAATTCTTGTTCTGTTTTAGAAATGATTGAATTATACATTAATAATTTTATTAATATTTTTGCTTTTAATTAAAATAACTTTTATAAATGAAACGAAGTAATTTATCTTGGATAATATGCTGGTACACATTTAAGAGTTTGTTAAAAAAAAAAAAGAGTTTGTTAAGTGACATAACCAACTCGCATTATTTTGTCTGTGGGTCACTGGAAGGGAAAGACAGAGTAGACTCAGTAGAGTATGTGCGAAAACTCAAATGTTTAAAAAGACACAACAAGTCATGACGTGGCATATTGAGGGGATGAGATAAAACAGGCCTTATATAATGCATACAAAACAGGCCTAAAAGTTCTAATTATTAACCTCTGTGGAGCCCAAATTGAATTCAGGAGAAATTTTGGTAGTCATTATCTGGAAACGACGCCGTATCCGAACTGTGTGTTGTTGCTCTGTCAAAACAAAGCCCTTGATTTCGCCATAGCAGTCATTTACCCTTATCATCCGAGTCGAGAAGAAGAAAGAAGACGACCTACCCCGATCTGAGAAATTCACCTGAGCTACGTTTATCACCAATCTTCGATCAATGGCAATGGCTGTATTCCGTCGAGAAGGGAGGCGTCTCCTCCCTTCAATCGCCGCACGCCCAATCGCTCCCGCTCCCATCCGATCTCCTCTCTCTTCTGACCAGTGAGATCTCTTCCCTCCTCCTTCCCTTCTTATCTTCTCGTATAATCCCCCAACGCTTCGATGTTCTTCTATTGATAACTCTTTAGTATCCCAAAGTCGCTTCTTTTGATTGTCTCTTTGATGTTTTTTTGCGTATTTTGATGTATGATCAGTTAGGGTTTAGCATTTTCACTCTTGAGTTTTCCAATTTACGAGAAAATAATTTAATTAGTCACTTTGCCAAATGAGATATGTGTGCTGTTCTGTTTGGAGCAAAGTAAAACTCATATCTTTTAGAATCTCGTGTTCCTGTCGTAATATGTGTTCAGTTTCCCGTGTAGGAGTAATGTTTTGATAATGGTATTGTATGTTGTCTTTAGCATTCTGCCTCAACCCGCTAAAAAAAAAAAATTGTTTGCTTTTTTTGGGGTTTGATTGCCCATATTGACCCAAAGTGTTGTGTGTTGTCGTATGCTAATGTTAATGATGATGATGATGAGGAGGAGGAGGACTAACCTGCATTTTTTTTGTAGGGAGGAAGGACCTCTTGGAGTTCGATCTATCTCTACTCAAGTTGGTAAGTCTCTCTGCTGATCATTAGAATATGTGTTTAGATAGTTAGCAGTGTGTTATGTTCTGCTTCTAATATCCATAAATCGCTTTAACTATTGTATACTCTGTGCAGTGCGTAACCGGATGAAGAGTGTAAAGAACATCCAAAAGATCACAAAGGCCATGAAGATGGTTGCTGCCTCTAAGCTGAGAGCTGTTCAAGGCAGAGCTGAGAACTCTCGTGGACTTTGGCAGCCTTTTACTGCTCTTCTTGGAGATAATCCCAGTATGGTCCGAGTAGTTTTATATATTGATCAGTTTATACTCGTGTTGATGATGACGAACAATCTTATACTCTTAGATATCTAATTCTTGCTATATCTGTGTTGTTCTTTTTGGTTTTTTTTTTTCTTTCTGATTTCTAGCGTTTACTTGATGGAAAAACAGGCATTGATGTGAAGAAGAGTGTAGTGGTCACTCTCTCTTCTGACAAGGGTCTCTGTGGTGGAATTAACTCCACTGTTGTTAAAGTTAGCAGGGCTCTCTACAAATTGAATGCTGGTATGTTTTTGAAAGCAGTTTGGATGGTTTCATGGTTTTGTTTCTCTAAACTACCATACCTGATTAAAATATTTATTGCATTGCAGGTCCTGAAAAGGACGTGAAGTTTGTTATTGTCGGAGAGAAAGCAAAGGCTATAATGTTCCGTGACTCTAAGAACGACATCTCCCTTACTGTCACAGAGCTGAATAAGAATCCACTCAACTATGCTCAGGTAGGTCATAATTGCATTTGTCTTCGAGCTATGTACTACTTTATTTGATGTTTCTTATGTCTACTTGCTGCATCAGGTCTCAGTTTTAGCTGATGACATCCTGAAGAACGTTGAGTTTGATGCTTTGCGCATTGTTTACAACAAGTTCCATTCTGTTGTCGCATTTCTACCGACTGTGGCCACTGTTTTGTCACCTGAGGTACGTCACAAGTGTCAAATCTCTCAGGACTATGATTAGTGCCTAGTATTTCACTTTCTCCGTTAACTATAAGCTTATATTTTTTTTGTATTCTTGTTTATGCATTGACAGATTATTGAAAAGGAATCTGAAGTTGGAGGAAAACTCGGTGAGCTCGACTCATACGAGATTGAAGGTGGTGAAACGAAAGGAGAAATTCTGCAGAATCTTGCCGAGTTCCAGTTCTCTTGTGTAAGTAACCAAGAACATACAAACTTGACTTGTGGTGTTAAACATCGAAAGAAACATATAAGGATCAATTTCGGTGGTTTTCATAAACTCTTCGTTTAGGTAATGTTCAATGCGGTGCTGGAGAATGCATGTAGTGAGATGGGAGCTAGGATGTCTGCCATGGACAGCTCAAGCAGAAACGCAGGAGAAATGCTTGACCGTCTCACCCTCACTTACAACAGGACTCGTCAAGCTTCCATCACAACAGAGCTTATCGAGATTATCTCTGGAGCTTCTGCACTTGAAGCCGCCAAATAAGCACTTTCTTGTTTGCGTTAACTTGGCTTTTGATATCTATCCCCAAGGAGAAATAGTGTGTTTTGAACATCCTTTGCTGGCTTCTTGTTGACGCCACCGGTATTTGCTCAAAGATTTTTTCATAATAAAAATCCCTGTAACTT